AGAATGTCAAAGAGGTCTTGTTATGTGAATCAAATTTTAAAAATGGGAACCACTTGAGCAGTATTTTAATATGTTTTGAAAGAGTGATTCTAAAGAGAGGTGGCAGGCAGTAGAGTTACAGGGGAACCAGAGGAGTGTACCCTGATGAAAGAAATAGCTGATCGTAATCTAACCAAAACTAGGAAACTGAGCTCCCAAGAAAAGTCACAGAATAATCCTGCTGCTCTCTTACAGCCATTTGGAGTTGTGCTGGCCAGCTAGGGAGGAACACAGTTCTACTGGAGAGACTGTAGAAACCTGGTACTAGCATGTAGATAAATATAGCAAAGGGAGTTAACAATCTAGAGAGGTAAAAAATGAGCTCTGGTCTGAAAAAATTGAGCAATTGATTAGAAAATGTCTTCTAGAAAGGTTTTACACCTGCCCAGAAGTGGTCTCCATGAGCTACAGGCTTGCTGTCAGAAGTGACTCAAAATGAGTCTGCAACCCCAAGTTTAAGCAGTGAAAGGAAACAAAGATTAGAAAAGTAAGTACAAAATTGTGTTCAAGTTATATTCCCTGTAAATTTGGCCCCCAGAGGTTTAGTCCACACCTGACTGCACACTAGAATTGGCTAGGAAATGTCACATGACTTCCCTAGGCTCTACCCAGACCTGAATCTCTATCTACTGGGCGAGAATCCGGAAGTCCGTGTACAAAAACATCCCTGCACTGGTCTGCAGGGTAGTATTTGGGAATGGATATGTTCTGTTGTCAAGTCTGAATTACTCATGTTGTTGTTAGTTGTTGTTGTTAAGTGCTGTCGAGTCGGTTCCAACCCATAGTCCAGTGCTTAAGTACTGTAATCTCAAAAGCAGAAAGTTTATATGTTACATGTATGCCATTCTGTAGGAAAATGATAATAAAGAGGCAGCGCACTGCTTTAATTTAATTTAGAAAGGGCAGTATGGTCTGAATTGCAAACATTAGTTTCTAAGACTTCCCAAGTGACCCACATTTAGGGTGCTCAAGCTAGGAATAAGAGCCTTGGTAGCACTGTGGGATAAGCACAGGACTGCTAACCATAAGGTCAGCAGTTCGATCCCACCAGGTGCTCCAAAGGAGAGAGATGAGAGAAAGAGAAGTAAGGTTTTCTGCTTTCATAACGATTTACAGCCTCGGAAATCCTATACAGGGTTGCTATGGGTTGGAATTGACTCAGTGGCAGTGAGAGCGAATGGGAAATAGGAAGACAGGCCTACTTCCATGGACACCCTATGATCACAAAGGTCGAATCCCTTTGTGCCTGTGGATGACAGAGTTGGGAGTAGACTCTTCCAATGGCAGCTGACGAGGACGATGGCAGTAAGAAGTCGTTGGGCCCCTAGGATCCTCACCAGCACAACCAACAAGCTGGGGGCTATTCTCTAAAACGTAACATGGGCTTAAAGTTGCTCTTAACAATGTGAAACTAGTAAGCTGATATTGAAGACCTTGCTGATATTGAAGACCTTTTTTCTATATGATAGTTCTAACTGGTTTACATTAGACTCTTACCTTTGCTTTGGATAACAAGCCCCGTAAATTGAGTCGAATTGAAGAAAGCACTTGTACAGCCTCTTGGGGACTGGATTTGTTTTTACTGCATTTTATAGCCACTGGAAGATAAACATTGGGGAGAAAACAGTCATCAAAAATGAGTAAGGATTATTTGTAAGTACCCAAAATAATTAGGACTTTATAGTAACAGACTTTAGAAATATTTCTCTATGTAAGGTTTTATTTTTGAAAAACGGTATCTAAGAAAGATAATTTACTGCCAAAGGGGGAATTTTTGAGGCAAATAGGTGATTTCTGGTGAGTTACAAGCAATCAGGAGAAGATACTAAATACACACACACACACACACACATGTGCACGCTTGCATGTACACAGGTAGACAGGCACCTACATGGGCACAGACAATGAAGTTCCTGATATTATTCAGGAAGGAGACAGAATCTTATTGAAAGCAAAGTGCCCACATGGAGCAAAAACACATGTAGCATGTCAGAGTGTGGCCTCCCAGGATTCCCAGAGTCCCTGTCTCAACTGTTAATGACACTAACCTAAGGAAGTGACATGCCAAGTGTGTATAGCTTAATGCTTTTTCCCACTCAAGACCGACATCATCATTTGGGAAGAATATACACCAAAACCCTATGGGCTTTCCTGTAGGGAAAGTGTGATCCCAGCAAGTTCTCTGGGTGCTGAGCCAGGAGTGATACCAGCAGGCTATGGGGGCCCGGTGTGGGGGGGCGGGGGTTTGGCGTTCTTTTCTGAGGAGTCCAAAGACTTGAAGTGATGACAGGCACTCTCCTCCCAGGCAGAATGCCCAATTACCAGTGATCTACATAGCGTAGTGGTGTAGTGATTACCTATCGGGCTGTGAACCACAAGGTCAGCAGTTCCGAAACTACCAGCTGTTCCGCGGGAGAAAGATGAGGCTGTATGCTCCTGTAAAGATTAACAGCCTTGGAAACCCTGTACAGGGTCACTATGAATCGGAACCGACACCACGATACATAACAACAACAACAATAGAAATTAGTGAGGAGGTTTGTACAAGCACAATGCTTGAAATTTCATCACTCATTTCATTTTAGTTTTGTTCCTGTCAATTAGGTTCACCAAATTCCACCAGACTAATAACCAGATCCTATTTTACAACTACAATCTACAGTGTACAGATTACAGTCCATTTAGTGCCCTAGGTCTTAGATCAAGGACGGAAAAAGAAAAGATGTTTCTCTTCGGTGAATGAGAAATGCTAATCAATTGGGTCGAGTGCCTGTGCTTACGAAAATCTTAAATTTTGTCAGTGATTAATAAGGTCTCCCAAGACCCTACCCAGAGAAGCAGTGATGCCTGACATGGAGGCAGAGATGATGACATGGAGCAATGGAGCAGCTGGAGACTTTAGATCCAGAGAGGGAGAGCGACTGTGTGCTAAAGACCTGGGGGCATGGGGGAAGGATTGCATGGAGGGGATTGTAACCATGGCAATGAGATATACAATATACGATAGAATGAATGTAAAACCAATGTTCTCCCATGTAAACTATCACATAATAATTCACAATAAAACATTAAAAAAAAAAAAAAAAAAAAAGGTCTCCCAAGGATAGTAAGAAACCAGGTTGACAATTCTACTTCAAACAATGAGACTTTGATATTTCTCAGCTAAAGGATAAGAAGATATCTGGTAATTAACAATGTTAATCTCATTTCCAAAGGACAGAGTTAACCTGGAGTGAGGATTACACTGTGTGTTTCACATAGTAAAACTTTAATGACCATGACTGAGGCAATCGAGCTGCTTAACATTTAATAACAGAACCCTGGAGGTGCAATGCAGAAGCACTTAGGTTGCTACCTGAAAAGGTCAGCAGTTGGAACCCAGTAGGCCCCGAGGGAGAAAACATCGGTTGGTCTACTCTGGTAAAGATTACAGTCTAGGAAACCCTACAGAAGTTTCTATCTACTCTGTTCCATAGGTGCACCATCAATCAAGAATCGGCACCAACAACAATACCTAATAGCCTGTATCAGAGAATGTTGTGATTCTTTTTGTTTAATCCTGTATTCTCAATCTAAAAAAACACAAAAACAAATTCCATTAGTTCCCCCTCTTTAATTGCATTCCCAAAAGGCATTATTAGAGAGGAGATATAGAGATTAGGATAGCTGTAGGGAGAGCCACAGGGAGAGGGGCAGGGAAGGAGAGAAATGGAGAGAGAAGTGAGGGGGTGGAAAGAGAAACAACCTGCTGTTTCAAATCATCAGGAAATCCAAGAGAGCAGTGCTTCCTTCATGTAGTAACAATGCCCAATTATTATTTTCAAAGTTCCTGGGAGGGTAAAGAACTACTTAGCTTTCACCTACCCTTTCCCCCCCAAATAAAATAGCAGAAACTGTAAATGGAAACCCTCCAGACAATACAAATGGGCATACAATGACAGCATTGTTACAGAAAGTCTCAAATACCTCGTTGAGATTGCAATGTCTTATCAAGCTTTCTGAAGTACACAGCTACTCTTAACAGCAACCAAATAGGGAGTAAATCATGTGAAGATTTAAAACACTCACACACACGCACACATTATATTTCCTTTTGAGAATGGGGAGTTGGGTGGGGGAAGGGTAGCAGAGGTATAAAAAGAGAACAGAATAACAGAAACCCATCTCACTGCCCAACTGAGCACTCCTGTACGAAAGCAATTAAGAAAAGGTTAAGATTTATCTTCATATATCTAAAACCACTAGAAACTAAAGCTGAATATCCACTCAAATATGCTTAAAATGTTGTAGGAGTGCTGACACATAATTTATTAAAGTCAAAGGAGAACTTCAAAGAATAAGCACCTGTTTTCCTCCAAGTATTACCCTAATTTAAAAAAAAAAAAAGTGCTGACAATAGTTTAAAACCAACTTTTATATGAAAAATGATCATTTTTCCTAGAGTATCTCTTTAACCTGTCTATTTATATTTCACAAGTTTAATACTAGCCCTTCTTGGTGAGCAAAGAAAACAGCTTGGCTCTCCCTCCATGTGATGGAGTGAGCTGTTCATAGAAATGTTTACGGCTGGCAAGCTGAAGTGGATAAATAGTTCAAAGTAAATAGCAATCAACTAATTACATAATACTCCATAGCTCTGTGTTTCCCCAAGCATAATACTGTAGCCACAAAACTCATCTAAGCACACCCACCATGCAGCCAGCATGGTCACAGAAATTCTAGCTACCCCTAAATTATCCTCCCACTGATCAGCAATTACCTCAGTTTTCTTACATTAAATTTCAATACTTCCATCTACCCATCTATCAAGGTTTAAGTGGCCTAGGAAATTGGATATTTTATATCCTTTTGGCCAAAGAAGTCAAACGTCATAAGCAGAATTATTAACTATCATGCTCATTTCTAAATGGTTTAAACATTCTTTATTGTTTGTTGTTGTTGTGTGCTGTGGAGTCGGTTCCGACTCATAGTGACCCTGTACAGGGTTTCCGAGGCTGTAAATCTTTACGGGAGCAGAACGCCTCATCTTTCTCCCGCGGAACAGCT